TTCTCTTCATCCTTTGTGTCCCATCAAGCAGAAAATTTTCTAGATTGGGAAATTGAGTGGTTGTCCAGCTGCAGATCCCCCCCAGTGGTTATAGCTTTCTTGCTAGATACATAATTGCCGGCAAAGAAGGTGAAGTATACAAAATTGATTACTCCTAGAGATGCAATGATGAAATAGTAGTAGTCCAGCCTGTTCTTGTTAAGATCATGATCTCCCAACCATGGCTGTCTCCCATTTTTTCCAGTTGCAACGTGAATAATATTGACAATAAGAGAACTTAAGTAGCTGCCAATTGACAAACTTAAGAAAAACACAGCACCTGCAATACTTCTCATGCTCTCAGGCATCTGGACAGTAAAAAATTCCATTATAGCAACAGCTGCAAAAGCTTCTGTCAAGCCTGATAGAACAAACTGAGGCAGGAGAAATCCGATACTAAGAGGAGAAACATGAGATCCGTGTTTTAAAGCCGATTCTCGCCTCTTTTTCTCAACGATACCAGCCATAACCATGCACAAAATTGACATCACAATGCCAGTTCTAATTTTTTCTTTCAGTGTTATTCTTGCGTCCCTTTTCATGATTTTCCTTGACGTCGGGAGATAGAGGCTTTGGTATATGAATATCCAAAAGGATAGAGCTAGCATTGACGTGTTTCCCATCCAAGCCGGTGGAACTTTGAAATGAGGTCCTAGAAATTGATTCATCTGAATTCCCTGAAGGTTCCCAAACGTATTCTGCTGGTCCATGACTACAAAACAACCAATAGCGGAGCACCATACTGGCACGATACCAACCAAGCATTTTAACTGTTCCACTTGTTGCACGCTACATAATCTCCAACTATCTGTGGGCTGACCTTGACAATCCAGTTCACTTGAGTCAAGGATTACAGCAGCCTTATTTAGGCAGTTGAATCTGTCAGTCAGCATCAGTTTAGTTGGCTCCAGCTCTTCATCTGTTGCAGGACTATAGAAGGTATGATCACTACTTTGTCTCAGGTTTACCTTTCTTTTCTTGATCGATGCACTGATCACCTTAGCCATGTCTATAAAAATACTCCCCTGAGGCTTCCTGATTATGTAGGTTCTGCGACCAATCAAAAAAATGATTATCGAACAAGCTAGGCAAACTGTCGGAATAGCAAATCCTATTGCCCAGCTAATGTTTGTCTGAACATAGACAACTCCAGTGAGGGCTATCATGAGTGCAATGGTGAATGAGAAGTACCACCAATTGAAAAAGCTTTCCAGACGTGCTCTTCCCTTTTCTGTCCTTGTGTCAAATTGATCAGCCCCAAAGGCAATGTTACAGGGCCTAATGCCCCCTGCACCTGTAGCCAACAGAAGAAGGCCTAAAAGAAGCACCACAATCTGCCATCCCCGAGGCTGTTCGCATACAGATGGCTCATGGCAGGCTGGTGGCCTCAGTTCAGGTATGGCTGCAGTCAAAGCTATTGTGCCCATGCCCTGTTTCAAGAAAATTGAGTGGTCATATTTTTTGGATACAAGATTTTTCAAAAATATCATGTACAATTTCACGCAAATTCAAGAAATATCTTGAACAACATTTGCTCAAAGTGAACAAAGAAAGATTAGGTACCAGTCTAGTCCCAATTATACCACAAGTGCAGAAAATGTTGGGTACTTCTTTTGGGAAAAATCAAAATGGGATTGAAGGAGATCAATTATACCACAAGAGAGGATATGGAGCCAAAGAGAAGAGTAAGGAATCTGCCCAAATAGGCATCTGAGACAACAGCCCCGGCTATTGACAAGACGTTGGAAGAGCCCGTCCAAATAGTAACCACATTAACAAGAAATATGCCACCCAAATTGTACTTTGTTCGCAAGTACACTGTTAAATTGGCTATCAAGCTCATGGATGCCAACTTCTCAAATGATTCATTACCTTGCAAAAGAACAAAAGAGAGCCAAAAATGAGCAAATCAATCCATCATATTTATTCAATCTCAATAATCAAATATATATGTAATAGAGGCCTTTTGTTAGAATGAATAAATTGATTATTAATCTATTAGGCAAGCGAGAGGAGCAGTCACCTGTCTAGCTATATTCTTGCAATACTCAGAAACTCCCTCCTTTCTCCCTCCTCTCCAAAAAAAAATTAAAAAAAAAAAAAGGAACAACTACAATGCTAGTAATTTCTCAACATGCAAATACTGCCTGTGCATCTTGTCTCATGCTCTCAAGTCCTAGCTCTACCACTAAACAAAAATAACAACCCAACTCAACTCCAACTATTCTTGATTTTTTGAATATAAGATAGACTAAAAAACAGACAGAGAGAGAGAGAGAGAAAGGCATCCCGAAAGCATTAAAGAATGTCTCGTTGAATATATATATTTGCATGCATTATGTATACTTCAAAACGCGGATATGGCTATGATTTGCCAAATTGGCATTCATTACCAAGAATGTACGCAATGGCTCTCCAGCCTCCTGCTTTCCTCGAAGTGGAAGGAGGAACAGAATCTTCATGTTGGGTTGAAGGAGAATGGCTAGTAGAATTGAAAGCCATTTGATTCCCCTCCTATCTTCCTCTGTGAATGTCTTTCTTGTTTCTTTCTAAATGAGCTGGTGAAAGACAATAAACCCCTTTTTTTTTCACTGCATGACTTGTTAAAACATGAACCTCCGAAAATTGTGTCAGTTCTGGTGAGAAAGGCAAACCTACTCAAGACTGAAAGACCAGAATTAGTAAAATGACAGCTAAACATGAAATTTTTAGGAAATTTGTTTCTAAGCTTTATAGTTCTCAACTCTGATGTATCAAGATGATACCGAATATTCTACTATTTCCAACTGCTTTGGTCCAAAAGGGCTTAATATCAGGATTCGGTAGCCCTAGAAGCCGTTGTAGTTCATAGATTTTTTCTTGTAAAGTACTGGTAGCCCTTGTAGTTCGGCACCATTAAAATCTAATTATACACACATTTAAACATGTGATGTAAACACAGAAAAGTGTTATTTTAGCCCCCGCATATATAAGTACCTTTTGGGGTTTTCACTTTCATTAGTTGTGAATATGTGTAAAGTGAATAGTTGTGAATATAAGTACCTTTTGTGGTTTTCACTTTTACGATCAGTTGTTATATTAGCACATATTCATTCACATTGTTGAACGATGCGAATAAACTGCAAATTTGTTTCCGATAAGCATTTTGGAAGAAGTCCAGACAAAATGGTCATATGCCAAGTGTTACTAAGGGTCCTAAGGGGGATTCCCGTTTCCCCCTTTTTCATTTGATAGAGTAGGGAAACGCATCTTATTCTTTTCTACTATTCAGTCTCTTATGGAGAGAAAACAACGAAGATTTAGCCGTTAATTAATTGTTGTTATCTTTTGGACTCACTTGCTTACGTGTTGAAGTTGATTAAAAGTTGAATTAATTACGTACCAAACAAAATTTGGCCAATCAGTTCAGTATTGCCCTTTGTAGTTTGTACGTAAACTAATCAGTGCTCCAATCAGCTAGTGTGTCTAGCTTGACTGAGCATGTATCTTAACTGGTACATAGAGATTATTTATCTATTTGCACCTTAAACAACATTCTTCTTGCTACTTGCAAAAGCTTACCGACATGTACGGATAGATATTGATGCTGTGTTTCGTTAATTAATTTTTTAGACTTGATATTGACGGATGTTGTACAATTCTTGTTACAATTTTTGAATCAAAGACAACCAATTTCTCAACCTATTTTATGCAAGTATTGACTGTAACAAACAGAATCAATTTCTCAACCTATTGGAAGATCTAGATTTGGGAGCTCTTCACAACTGGATCGACCTATACTCTTCTATATAGATACATTTTATCTGTATACACTTCGAAGCTAGTATGATCTGTCTTCTTGCTGATTTACTTGGTCGAATAATCTGACAAGCATCTTTTCTGGTACTTGTCCTTTCATTTGAGGTTTTCATATATAAGGAGAACATCCAAAGCCCCATTACTTACACATCAATTAAGGTTAACAAAGGAAGAAAACAAAACTTTAGTGGAACATGGAAATAACTATAGACATTGGTATAGTGTCACTTTTGTGGTGTCGTTTGTGGTGGTGGATTGATATTTTCTATGCCCTACCAACAAGTTTCCGGTGTTCCGGAGCGGCACCAAGCTTCCTCCTGGATCCATGGGGCTTCCTTTCCTTGGAGAAATGCTTCATTTTCTCTATTATTTCAAAGTTCTTCTCCGCCTTGATGACTATATTAATGCAAAACGAAAGAAGTAAGATATATCCTTTTTTTTCCATTCATTCCGTTTGTTTTTAGTACGACATTTTTGCAACTGATCCTATATTAGGGGGAGGAGCAGAAAGATGGGGATGGAGCCAACTAAATTATTGAGAACTCGAAGGAAGCTAAACTACTTCCTGAAAATGTTTCAGGGAATCCTGAACGAGAAATGCAAGTGAGGGGGTTATGCAACAGTGCACAACGAGACATGCCCTTATGAATTACATGTTTATTCAGTTGCTAAGTCATCCAGCAAATTAAAGCCACTGGAATTTCACTATGATATATCTATACTAACTTTTTTCTTTTCTTTTTTTGTTGGGTAAGTTAATATATCCATTAACTTACTAAGCTAAAATCTGATTCCAGGATTTCGCTTATGAACATGAGACTTCACCAGACGAGTGATTACTACAAATCCAACATGTTTTGAAGATGGCAAACCAACAAAAAAATAATAATAATAAAGTGTGGTGATAAGTGAAGTTAATTAGGTTGAGACCTTAGGATTAGAGGTTTTGGATTCAAATCTCCTTATTCCCTCCCCACTTCTTAAGTTCCACCACTTCTCTACTGGAAATTTTAAATAAAAAAAAAAAAAAAGTGAAGTTGATCAATTTAATTTTGTTTTGGCATGCAAACTACACAACATCGATTAAGCTATTGGAATTTTTAATTGGTTACATCTTTGACTAGAAAATCATCGGACAACTAAAAGGTACATATTGTTTTGTTATGGATAATCTGTCAGGTACGGTGACCAAATAGGAAAGTACAGAACACATCTTTTCGGTAAACCATCCATCATTGCTTGTTCTGCTGCAGATAGCTAATTTGCAGTCCAATCAGATGTAAACTTTGGCTTGAACTGGCTTGCTGTTGAAATTGTGGGCGCCAATGCCCTCGTAGCAGTAGAAGGACCATCACACCCTAGAGTCAGAAGCCTTGTAATTAAGGTCGTCAATCAACCTGATGCTCTTCGCAGGATTGCTGCAATGGTTCAGACTCGTGTAGTCGCTGCCCTACAATTATGGGCACAAAAGGGCAGAATTGTGGCATATAATGAAGCTTAAAAGGTTGCCTAAAAGTTTAATGCAAAGATTGCCAAGAATTCACGTATATACAACACTGAATATATTATCTAGACCTCTGGTGTTTTGTCTATCATTTTTTGCCTGCAGGTCACCTTTGAGAAAATCGGTAAATATTTTGTGGGCTTTCAGCCAGGTGAGGTGCCCATTTGGAAACCCTTGATAAGCCATTTGGGGGGATGGTAAAACAGGGGCGGATCTACGGTGTGGGCACGGGCCTCCACTGTGCCTTTAAATTTTTATAGTACCCATAGAATTTTGATATAATTTTAAGTGTATCCCTAGAGTTTTGTGCATTCATTAGTTTATATGTTTCTAAAGTTGGTTTTGATTTTGTCTGTTGTTATAATTACCGTAGAAAGAGTTTTTTCAGTTATGAATATAGTGAAGAATCGGTTACGAAATAAAATGGGAGATACTTGAATGAATATTTAGTTACTTACATTGAAAAAAATATATTCGTGAAATTCAAAATAAAAAGGTTATAAACCGTTATCAAAATATGAAAACTCGCCATGAGCAATTGTAAATGGTTTAGTTTGCTTTTTGAAATAAAATTATTATTACATTAATAATTTTGAGTTTGTCTTTTTATGTATTTCATGGAATATATGCATCATTTGTACTTGTTGGTGAATATTTTTTTGTTTAAAAAACTAGAAAAAAAAGTAGGTAAAAATTCTTAGAATTACTTTTGCCCCTACTGAGAATTTTTTCTAGCTCCGCCGCTGTGGTAAAAGGATTAAGCAGTCAGATTATCAATTTTCTAGGGTCAGCTTGTGTAGTTTTCTTGTTTGTTCTTATACATGCTAACAATGACTGTTAATCCAATATGCAGTATGCGCTGCTCTTTTAAGAGGGTTAATACCACTGGCGGAACTAGAGGTTAAGAATAAGGTTTTAGACGCAAGATTAGGAAGGATGTGCTTTTAAGAAAATACTCTTGTATATTTTAGAAAATTTGTGGGGCAAATTCTAATATTGAGATGAAACATTTTAAGGAAATGTTGAAGGATTTATAAAACTTGGGGCAATAAAATCTAATTTCTACTAGGGTATAAATGAAAATTACTATAATTTTTAAGGGCCACAAATGGATTTTTGAAATCTTGGGGGGCAGCAGTCCCTCCCCGCCCCCATTAGAACAGCCGATGGTTAATACCACTAACAGCTTTATGTATAACACACAAAAGAGGATATTGTTAACTCTTGACAATTCAGTATTTAAACTCCTTTTCGTCTTGCCAGTTTAATTAGTCCAATTTGCAGTTTAATCATTGTAAATTCTTGATACCATTTGCGTTGTAATAGTGTCAGAAGAAAGCCATAGCGATTTTCAAGGAGGAGATGAAAAAGCGCAAGGATGGATGGAATGAGGCAAAACCGAGAAACGATTTAATGGATTATGTGGGCTGTGTATTTTATAGCCAAATATACCCCAATGTTTTGAAAAAGCTTGAGGTATATTCATATCCAAATCTTACTTAATTCCTTGTGGAACAGTCGGAATTGTCTGATAGTACCCTGAAAACCCATTGAAATGCAGGAAGAGCACAAATTTATCACCAAAAATGGAGGTATAATTACTAGTGATGCCAACCAAAAAATGAAATGTACAACCAAGGTAATATATCAAAAGATTGAATGGAATGATCTAATGGCTCAAAGTGTCCAAGAAAACCAGCCATCATCTACACCCTTAATTCCAGGTTTTGGGGAGGATTTGTGGCTATAAAAGGGACAAAAACGCAACCCTAAAATGAGAGAACAAAGGAGATGTGGCGGAGGAAAGAAAAACAGAGAATAAAAGGAGAGAAAATAGAGAAAAAGAAGAAGGAAAAAGTGCAGAAAATTTTTTAAGAACTTGAGCCAGGGTTGAACGGGTAGCCCTGTTCAGTGGCCATTTTCTTCTTCTTATCGACTTCTTTTGGATCAATTCTTGATTTCTAATACTCTATAGATGTGTGAGAAGAACTTTATGTTGAAAATTCACAGGAAAAACACCTCTAAGGTTGCTTAATTTGGGCCCGAATTTGCTGCACTGTCAGCTCTCGAAACCTGTTACAGGAAGATTCAATCTTCAAGTTGTTGCGTTTGGATCCGTTTCCTTCGACGTTTGACGCGTTGTCTCATCCTTTAAAGTGCCAAAGGTGATGTATTTCATCTTTCCCTTGCCATTTAAGCTTAAATCTGTGCCAAAAATCATTCGGATTCTGCCTGCATTTTTTTCCTCTTTTTGCTGCATTTTTTTTTTTTTTTGCTCATTTTATGGGATAATAGTTCAGATTTTATTGCACAATTTCATGTTAAATGTACCAGGATTGAATCTTGATGATGTGGTTGTGTGTTCTTGCTGCTTTGGTTTGAAACTTTGGATCGGTTGTAATGTTTGTTATGTTTGATAAAATGCAAAAGAAAAAGGATTGCAGAAACCTTCGAACAAGATGCATGATAACTTCTGAAATTTTCATTTTGACCCCCTAATTTTGCATAATTTTATTGTGGCCTCAAACTTCTGCAAATGAACCATTTTGATCCCTTTTAAGTTTTAATCATCTTTTGCATATTTTAATCATGTTTTTGTAAAGATTAATTTTTGGTTTCTAGGGCATAATTAGGGTTTAATAATTTTTAGTTGATTTATATCTTGTTGGGTTTTAGTAAGAATTATTAGAGATAACGGGTTTGTTTGGATTGTGAATTATTAGAGATATTTTTACTGTAGCACTTTTTGTGATGTGATGTATGTGAGATAAAAAGATAATTGGAAAGATAAAAAGGTGTGTTGGAAATTGTAATGATAATGCAAGCAAATATATTTTGACAAATAAACAGCAATCCAAACAAACCCGTTATTTGGTTGGGTTTGGAAAATGGATTTTGATTTATTTTGATTAAATTTTGGTTTGGGCTAGAGGAAAAAAGCCCATGCTTTTTTTGTTGAATTTTTTTTTTTGTTCAAAGACGGGCTGGCCTGCTTTTTTCTTTTGCACTTTTGATAGGCCTGATGGCCTATGGCCCAGAGAAATCATGAAATGGCCAATTTCTTAAGAAAATCTGGTAACGAAATTTGCACTCTGGCCTCTGGATGTTTGAGTAATTTTATTACGACCCTAAAAACTTTGAATTCATTCAATTAGGTCCCTAATTTAATTGCAATTTGATCCCTAAACTTTATTTTTCCTAATTTTTGTAATAATTATAATTTGACCTCAAAAACTTTCTTAATTTGTGCAATTAGGTTCCTAACAGTTTTGATTTCTTAAATATAAGTTACTTTTCTTCTTCAATTGGTAATTATACTCCATTTAAGTGCTTTAATTGGTAGATTTCATGATTATTTTCACTTTTTTATAATTAAATTGCTGTCTTGATTATTTTATTAATTTTGGATTATAAATAGGGCAAATTTCACCCCATTTAACCACAATTTCAAGAGAGGTAACCTCTTTGATTATTTTAAATTTTTTTATGTTTTCCAATGTATTTTTATGTGTAATGGCATGTTTTGAATGCTTTTTCTTTTAATTATTCATTTTTATTTATTTTAAGTTTCATTTATTTTGTTTAATTTTTTGATGATTATTTGAGAGGCATTAAAATGTCAAATTTGTAATAGATAGGCGCTCAAGTCATGTATTTAGCTAGCCTATGTAATAGATAGGTTTTAATTTTTGCTAAAAATGTATTTTGTTAGATAAATGTAATAGTTAGGTTATTATTTTTAAAATTTCCCCCTAGATTGTAATGCATTTATTTGCTTGTGTGCTTGCATACTTATGTGTTTACGTGTTTATTTACTTTCATTAGAGTTTTGCGTCTAGAAATTATGGTTCTGTGTTATGTGCTTTATATGCATTATGTATTTATTTCTTTTAATTATGTTTTATATGATTTATTTGTATATAATAAATGCATGACGTCACTACACTAGTCCAACGCTAGTTGTGGGCTTTCTCTCCAATTTCTCATTAATCCGACGCTAGTGAAAACTTGTAAAAATGGGTAGTCCAATACTAGATCCTTTAGACCGTCTTGCGATAGAATCACATTTTTTCATGACGTTCATCGCATTTCATACATGTTTTTTCATTTTTAGGGTCTTTTCTTATCTTGTATGATATTTGCTCTATATATTATCTGTATTACCCCCATGTGTGGGAAACATGACATTTAGACTTACCTTCCATTTAGGAAATTAGAAATAGGTTAGTTCATTTGCTTGATTAGATGAGGGGAGTCACTCTTCAAATATGGAAAATGGACGAGTATGGCTTCTTAACCTTAGCACGTTCGCATCTCCTCTATAAAAAGGAAAATTGAGTCACTTATCTAGATGCCCCGCACCCATTATGTTGCATTCCTCTCTTTTAGGTCACATATATTTTTTGTATTATAATTTTTTTTTCTTTGTGTCTCATTTTTGCATATTCGTGATCTCTTCTAAGAATCATTTTGGACATCACAATTAATGTGATTTGCGAATTAAAATTTGAAAAGATATTTCGACCCTTTCGATATTCATTAAGTCTAGATTTGCATCTATATAGAAACGCCCTAATGTGATAAGTTTTATAAGTTAGATTAAGAAAATTTTTTACTAAGTCACGCAACTAGTTGTGGCTAGATTGAAAGGGTGCCTTAAATTAAATATTTATCTTCCCTTTCTTCAATTGTAACTCTCGAACTCTTTTCTCTTGCTTTTTCGAAGACCTAGAGTCGTCTAAAAAGGATTTTGCTTATTTTTCATTTAAAAGTATATTTTTGGTGACTTGGTATACCTTAACTCAATACCAAATGGCAACTCATATTTTTCCTAAAAACTCTTTTCAGACTATTATTTTGGGCCAAAACTATCGCACTTTTTAAGTCCCATGTTAGGCCCTTTTTCTTTTATTTATTCTCTAAAATAAAAAAAAACTCATTTTCCAAATCAAAAATTCATTTTTCTAACACCTAAATATTTAGATTTTATTTTTTCTAAAAAAATAAGGCACCACAGAAGTAACCAAAATATATAAATATAGTATACTTGACACTTAATCTCTTATGATTTTGTATTTTATTATATAATCCCCTTATGGTTTAGTACTTTTCCACGTAACCCTTTTAAAGTTTTCAAAATATATACATCATTCCCTTGTCGTTAATAAATAATTTCCAACTTTCGTAGGAGCATTTTTTATATTTTAATTGACTCCGTTATGAAATATAAATTCATCACTTTGACATTCTTTTCAAACCATGATGGGTTATGTATAATTTTCGAAACCACACAAGGATAATTCCCTTGTCATTAATATAGAGCCAAAGTGTGTGATGTTGCTTGAATTGTTTGATTACTTATAAAGAAGCAAATTTTAGACGTAGAAGACTGTTTATGCAACAAATTTAACTAATGGTTGATATAGGTGCATTTCTCACTTGTGATCAATGTTAGTGGCTTTGTAATGGTTTGGCAAGTAGAAATATTGTTCATTTTTTATGACATAGTTTACTGGTTCCTGGCACGAGAGGATATATCAGTATTGAGTTTTGAGGTATTGAACATGAAATTTGGTTGCGTGACATTATTCCCTTCTAAGTGGTTTGTGATTTGTAATATTGTGAGGGTCATAAATACAAAACCTTTTATTGACACTACTAAACATGTCACATAAGAGGGGATAAAACTATGTCATTTAGCAACCTCTTGTGACTAACACCATTCAGGTCATAAAAACCCAGCTATATTTATTTTCTTTGGTAAGTCAAAAAATATATATATCCAATGATAGAATACTGAAATAGAAATTAAGAATTCAGGGGAAACCAAAAAATAGAAATAAAGTATGAAACTCTGGTGATAAAATAGAAAATGTATAGGAAGCATTTCTTCTCCCCTCTTTCAATTTCTCATTTTGCGTTTTGCATTTTCGTCTCCCTATGTATCAATCCTCTTATCAACCTCTTTCAATTTTTCTCTTTTTCCTCTTATCATTTTCCAATTTTCCCTCCGTATCAAGCTCTGAGAGTTTTCCAATATTCCTTTGACCAATTTTGCTTTGACTTCAAACTGAAACCATTGCAGTGGACACTTGGGAAATTTGTTTGCTCTGAGAAATTTCCAAAATTCAAAATGGATAAGGATCAAGATTCTTCAAGTTTTAAGCTCATTCTTTTATCAATCCTTTTTTGCTTGTTTTGCCTTTTTTTCCGGAATTTTGGACTCTTTTTCTTTACTTTTTATCTCACTGTAAATTTGTAAAGTAGGAATTTGTTATTTCCTTATAATTCATTATTATATTTTTGGATTTTTTAGTTTGATGATCTTGTTTCTTTGTTTTCCTAATAAGTTGATGAAGTTTGATTTTTTTTTTAAACAAAATTGATGCTGTGAAATTAGGTCTTCAATGCACGTACAAGAGATTAGGTTTAGCAAAAAAAACCATGGTTGAAATTAGGTCTTGGATCATGTGTATGAAATTAGGTTTAGTACAAAATTGTTTAAAGTTCTATTTCTTACTCTATACTGTGCAAATATTTGAATGCGATACTACGATTCTACCTTCTTAATTTACTTTTTGCTTTAGGGCTCCTTGAGGTCTGATTTATTTAATTATGAACTGAAACTGCAATTTGTTACTAAGAGAGTTGAATGTGTAGCGCCTTTAAAGAGGTAAATACTAAACTTTTTTTGTTAATTTTGACTTTGATATGCATTTTTAATTCAATTTCAATTAAATAATCATGTGCACTATGCATCTACAATTTGTTGTCTATTTGGAAAATTCATTTTGTTTGATTGTGTGTTTAGTTTCTCTTCTTAAATGTGTACAGCTCCATGGATATCTACAGAGGCATGCAATTTGTTTTGATTGGTTGTTTCTTGAAGTTAGAAATTTTCAAAAGAATTGATACTATTCTATTATTTTTGTATTTAGTAAGCCATTTATCATATTACAATTGTATTAATGGAATTTGGCACACATTTACTTTAAATTTCAGAATTAGTAGTTTCTTATGTTCATATAGGTGAACACATGATAGATTACTATTATATGTTATAAAACTAATAAAATGAATATACTACAATAGGAATTGAAGAAGTATTAGAGAAAGGAGTAGAGAAAGGGAGAATGATATCCTTATATTTCAACAAGATACAAAAGTACCCACAAAGGGTCTCAATGTACCTCTATATATAGGCACTACAAGATTAAAGATACATAAATCTTATTAAACATCCACTACTACAATAATATGAAGAAACCTATGAAACGGTTTCTCCACTACATGAATGGATTTATGAATTGTAACTTATATACATAAGTAGCCATAAAATCATGAATTAATCCCCTTGGGAATATAAAGGGACATCCACATTTTTGTTATTTCATAACATCTCTATGCTTGTTTGAGTAAAGTATCAAATAGTTGAGCATGACTTATCAATTTTAGACTTCTGTGGTTATTTTTTGTTGATAAGATGTGTACCTATGTGGTTGCTTTTGCAAATTTTTTATGAAAAAATTGAAAATTAAATCAATGATCTCCATTCCTAATAAATCTTACAATACAAATATGAACTGGTGATTGCTGGCACTCACAATTTGGAGTAGTAATATCAGTTACATAAGAATTAAGGTACCATTTGTTCTTTATAAATGGAATTTAGCTAATTGTTTGAATTTGAAAAAATATAATTTTAAGACTCAAAACATATTCAAAATGATTAGTTGTTCATATTAATTCATTCGTTTAGATCAGTATGACTATGGTAGTCTGTAAATATGGCAAACATGACAAAAGTTAGGCCTTCCAGTTTCAATGTTTAGCTTGCTCTGTTAGTTGCTGCATGGGGTAGATTTTTATTTGTCCCTAGCCTTAAATCTCACCATGATTAATTTTTTTATGTTGGCTATCTAGTGATGCATATATTTTAAGAGTGTGGTTTGTCTTGATAATTAATATTTTCTTAGTACTTAGTTATTTACTGGATCCACTTTCCAAGATTAGGTAAGGGAGGTTTTGTAGACCTATTCTTGTGGATGAAACCGCTCCTGTGGAGAATGTTCAGATTCAATATTTTGAAAAAGATCCATGAAATTAATTTAGCTTTAGTAATTGCTTAATATAATAGTTCTTGGTGAGACGTAGAAGGACATCAATGCTATGGTAGAAGTAGAGTTTGTAATGTAAAATTCATGAAGAACATTTGCTTTTGCTGGTTTATAGGTAACATCATATTTGCAGTCTTTTTTTTTTATCCTTGCATATTAATAATAACAATTCTATATTTAATACTTTCATAAAATGCTCTGATTCTATTTTTTTTATGCCTTATGTTAATCAAAAATGGTTTTGAAATCTTGATATATGGAAATCTTATTTTATATTAGTATCAGTGATTTACCTTTATTTTTGGATTACACAGGAAAAATTGAAGTGCTGGAATTTCATATACTTGGGTGGTCATCCCAACTCATATCTAGCTGCCTAAGAGAATTCTTTTCTGGTAAGTTTGCCTTTTACTCATCAACTTGATATTTATAAGCTTATAGAATTGTAAAACACCTGAACATGAAATTGAAATTTGAGCACTAGTTTCTTTATTTCTTGTCAATTTAAGATAACCTCATTTCATATGGTGATGAAATAAGTAAAGAATGTGTTGAAATTTACTGAATGGTGATGATTTTATTAAAATAACCTAATTTCATATTTCAAAATTTGAACTTTGAATACTTCATCTATGTCTTGTAAACACCTAAATTCAAAGTGGCTGGCTTGAATCTAGCCATGATATGAGCTACAAAATGTTATTATTATTTTGCTATGTTCATTTCTTTATTGATAGCGATGTGTTGAAGGAAGCTATTTTAGAAAGGTTTTTATTTGTTGCCCCAAAACTCAACTTCTTAGTTCTAGAAATTCATGTAGGTAGTTGTGCTTTAGTTTTAACTGGGTGCAAGAATTGATATACAGAGATCTCTATAGTAATGAGATGGTTCTACAGTATATACTAGTCCTATTTACAAGACATAAAGAAAGGGATATAATTTAGTAATAGATTTATTGTTGCTTCAACAAAAAATACTACAATAGCTTGCTATAGTGACCGAAGAATGAGCAATTGATTAGTTGCATGGTACAAAGATATAGGCAGTTGAGGAAATTAGATTTTGTTGGTTTAGTATTTTAGTGCCCTTTTCTATAGATGAATCTTCCTTGGATATATTATTATATTTGTTGTTTTATTATATTTTCTTATGTTATGTGAAGCAAAGCATAGCAGCTGTTCAATTATATTTGCTTTAGTATTATATTCTTTCTTTTCTATAGTTGTTGCACTGATAGGTGTTGTGTATTGATTGTAGGTTTTCTTTCTTTTTATTACTTTTTAGGACTTCTGCTACTGTAAAAAAGTAAGCTGATCATCTGATGGCAGAGGTAACCATGCAACTTTCTAGTTCTAACTTTCTGTTTCTAAGATACATGTCATTGACATCATTAATCGTCCATTTTATGCAAAGCTTGAAGTAGTGATCAAAGATGATGTGCCTATGCATGTGCCTACGGTAACTGAAGGTGATTTTACTGTGGTAACTGAAGATGCCACGGAAACAAGTGAGATCAGAATGAACAGTTAAGGCCAAACATCCAATGTGGTCTTGGAAGCAGGTCAGGGTAGAACAAGGGATTCGGGCCAAGCATCCAAGAAGGAAAATGAAAACAGCCAAGCCGTCTTACCCTGGGTCATATTTGGGGCATTGGCAGTTGGTGTGGCTGTTCCTACAACCATCTATGGAGTTGTGGTTTTCACCAAAAAGAGTGGTGACACTCTTGAAAGAACTGGTGAGCTCTTCTTTCAAGAGTGTCACTGCCTTGGCTAAAAAATGGGCAACAGCACCTCCTGCTGATGCCCACATTGACAAAAATATCACAATATGACATCATTTAAATTAGTTGTTCTAACTAGCAAAAACTGTCACATGATAGAAAGAAATTGGTTCATTTGCTTAGTTCAGATTCACATCCTTCGGTATAGATATTGTGCACCCTTTTGAAACGTGTTTGTGAGTTTCCTTCTTCCGAAGTAACAAACCCATCCATTACCTTTTTCCCTGCAAAAAAGTTCGAAGGTAGATTGAAAGTCAGTGTCACATTTGCCTCCAATTTTTCAATTGGCAATACCATATATATGTTTTTTCTATTTTTCTATTAACACGATGTACCTGTGAAGGATTTGCATAGCTTTCTCCCAACTTATGATTTTTCAAATAATAGGAAGATGGCAAGTCGTAACATTCTAAATAAATGAACAATATATATTTAGCTACTTTCTAGATGTTTAGTTTTAGTAACCTCATAAAAGGCTTGTCATCTACATACATATTTGAAAATTGAAATAGATAACATCATACATAAATTGGTTTTTGTCAAACACTTTGAATATTCTTTTCTGAGCCTGTTAGTAGAATGAAAAAACTAAAAATGCTGTTAAAAAATGCTATTTGAAAAAATGCTGATAAAGAAAGTCCCAACACAAAATCAAGCCTATAGACAAAAAAGTTTCAATATAAACTATACTTTACTGACAAAAATGTCTACAAACTATCAGCTATTGAAAAAAGAAAATCTCTATTAAGAACAAAAAACGACTCCAAGAAAAAACTATAGTATATGGTTAATGTATTCCACTTTTCTCACACATATTTTGCCAAAATGGTACATACATTGATTTATGAAATTTGTCTCCTATAGTTTTTTTGATAAAATTTTTAGGGTTCTACACTAGGTGCTTAGATCATTCAGTTTTGATAGGTATGAAATTTTCTAGATGTGGATGTGTAGCTTGTTCTTATCGTGCAATTAATATTATATTATTAATTTATTTCTCTTCTTGCACACATATTTTGCCTCCCTAGTCCCTATATACATTGATTTTATGAAACATATTTTTCCTATAGTTTTCTGATGAAATTTTTTGGGTTATACACTTTGTGCTTGTATCATTCAGTTTTGATAGCTATGAAACTTTCTAGGATATAAATGTATTCTCAAAATTTATTCTAGTTCTTTAGATTTTGCTATGTGACGTCTATAATAGAATTTTACATTAAAAAAATAACATGTTTATGGAAATTTTATTCTTCCTCGACAACAATGAGTTTTCCTCGACAGCCTTCTAATCTCATGTTTTATATGTTTCTTCCTCCTTTTTTAGATACGAGTTTTTCCAATTGTGATATATTTTTGTGCACTCTCCGTAAATGGAGCTCCTATTGAATTCAAATTCATTGAGGATCATTTGATGTTCCTTTTTTGTTTACTAAAATGACTCAGTTGATATTCTAGAATGAAAGTTTCCATGCTTAAGCACGGAAAGTTCACTACTGCTCGTCAACAATTTTTTTTTTTACCTAAGACAAAAGTTCTATTTGTACTAGATAGATGTATTCTAGTGATTATAGGATATGTGTTACATGATCAGGCGATAACATTATAAATCTGCGTGTATCTGGAATATTAAGAAGTATGTTTCTCTTCGAGTTCATGTTCAAATAAGGAAGGGAAAAGAAAATCTAAAATCTACTACTAATGCTATCGACGAAGTGTAAATCCTACATGACAGGTGTCGAATGCTACTATTTTAGTTTAAGAGAGAGCATCATTCCACTTTATGCCTCAAACTTTATTTGAACTCTTACTTTGCACTTTATACTTTAATTCAGGTCATATTTTACCCTTTTTTTTATAATCAATCAATTTTAGGTCCAATCATTAACAGTTTGTAGAAACTAAATTTTAAAAAAAAACATATTAGCAATAATACAATATTTACCAAGGATAAGGAAAAAAAAACTAACATTTTCAAGTGATAAATAATTTTCTGAATGTGGAGAAATTATCAAAGGATTAAAAACTATGCTGCTGACATGCTTCATCTCCCTCATCTTTCAATAGTATTAGCATCATTGGACTAAAGTCCATAGTGGAACAGATATATATATTAAAATTAAGGTTGCTTCATCAAAAAAGGTTAAAGGATGCAATGTGTAGCACATTATATTTTGGGATACAAAGTGAGAAGCGGTATAACTAAACCTAATACATATATTGTGAAATTCACCCATCTCTTCGTTCACCCTCTATAATTGCATCCTCTCCATCAGCTAATAAATTCATCCTTCAATCAGATGCAAACTTTGGCATGGGATGGCCTGCCACTCAAACTATAGGCAACAATTCCTTCATTTTCCTTCAAGGATCATTACATGCAAGGATTAGAGACTTAGTTGTGAAGGCCATTAATCAACCTAATGCTCTCATAATACTTTTATAAAATGCTCTAATTCTATTTTGTTATGCCTTATGTTAATCCCAAACGGTTTTGAAATCTTGATATATGGAAATCTTATTTTATATTAGTATCAGTGATTTACCTTTATTTTCGGATTGAACAGGACAAACTAAAGTGCTGGAATTTCATATGCTTGGGTGGTCATCCCAACTCATATCTAGCTGCCTAATAGAATTCTTTTCTGGTAAGTTTGCCTTTTACTCATCAACTTGATAGTTATAACCTTATAGAATTGTAAAACACCTGTTTATGAAATTGAAATTTGGGCACTAGTTTCTTTATTTCTTGTCAATTTAAGATAACCTCATTTCATATGGTGATGAAATAAGTAAAGAATGTGTTGAAATTTACTGAATGGTGATGATTCTATTTAAATAATCTCATTTCATATTTCAAAATTTGAACATTGAATACTTCACCTATGTCTTGTAAACACCTATTTTCAAAGTGGTCGGCTTGAATCTAGCCATGATATGAGTTACAAAATGTTATTATCATTTTGCTATGTTCATCTCTTTATTGATAGCGATGTGTTGAAAGAAACTATTTTAGAAAAGTCTTTATTTGTTGCTCCCAAACTCAGCTTCTTAGTTATAGAAATTCATGTAGGTTGTTGTGCTTTAGTTTTAACTGTGTGCATGAATTGATATACAGAGTTCTATAGTAATGAGATGGATCGACAGTATATACTGGTCCTATTTACAAGACATAAAGAAAGAGATATAATTTAATAATATATTTATTGTTGTTTCAACAAAAAATACTACAATGGCTTGCTATAGTGGCCTAAGAATAAGCAATTGATTAGTTGCATGGTACTTAGATATAGGCAGTCGAGGAAATTAGATTTTGTTGGTTTAGTATTTTAGTGCCCTTTTCTATAGACGAATCTTTCTTGGATATATTATTATCTTTGTTCTTTTATTATATTTGCTTATGTTATGTGAAGCAAAGCATAGCAGCTGTTCAATTATATTTGTTTTAGTATTATATTCTTCCTTTTCTGTAGTTGTTGCACTAATAGGTGTTGTGTATTGGTTGTAGGTTTTCTTTCTTTTTATTAGTTTTTAGGACTTCTGCTGCTGTAAAAAAAGTAAGCTGATCATCTGATGGCAGAGGTAACCATGCAACTTTCTAGTTCTAACTTTCTGGTTCTAAGATACATGTCATTGACATCATTAATTGTCCATTTTATGCAAAGCTTGAAGTAGTGATCAAAGATGATGTGCCTATGCATGTGCCTATGGTAACTGAAGGTGATTTTACTGTGGTAACTGAAGATGCCACGGAAACAAATGAGATCAGAATGAACAGTTAAGGCCAAACATCCAATGTGGTCTTGGAAGCAGGCCAGGGTAGAACAAGGGGTTCGGGCCAAGCATCCAAGAAGGAAAATGAAAACAGCCAAGCCATCTTACCCTGGTTCATATTTGGGGCATTGGCAGTTGGTGTGGCTGCTCCTACAACCATTTATGGAAAGAGTGGTGACACTCTTGAAAGAGCTGACGAGCTCTTCTTTCAAGAGTGTCACTGCCTTGGCTAAAAAATGGGCAACAGCGCCTCTTGCTGATGCCCACATTGACAAAAATATCACAACATGACATCATTCAGATAAGTTTTTCTAACTAGTAAAAACTGTCACATGATCGAAAGAAATTGGCTCATTTGCTTAGTTCAGATTCACATCCTTTGGTATAGGTATTGTGCATCCTTTTGAAACTTGTTTGTGAGTTTCCTTCTTCCGAAGTAACAAACCCATCCATTAACTTCTTCCCTGCAAAAAAGTTTGAAGGTAGATTGAAAGTCAGTGTCACATTTGCCTCCAATTTTTCAATTGGCAATACCATATATATGTTTTTTCTATTTTTCTATTAACACGATGTACCTGTGAAAGATTTGCATAGCTTTCTCCCAACTTATGATTTTTCAAATAATAGGAAGATGGCAAGTCATAACATTCTAAATAAATGAACAATATATAGTTAGCTACTTTCTAGATGTTTAGTTTTAGTAATCTTATAAAAGCCTTGTCATCTACATACATATTTGAAATTTGAAATAGACAATATCATACGTAAATTGGTTTTTTCTCAAACATTTTAAATATTCTTTTCTGAGCCTGTTAGTAAGATGAAAAAACTAAAAATACTGTTTAAAAATGCTATTTGTAAAAATACTGACAAAGAAAGTCCCAACACAAAATCAAGCCTACAGACAAAAAAGTCTCAATATAAACTATACTTTACTGGCAAAAATGTCTACTAACTATCGGCTATTGAAAAAAAAATCTCTAATAACAACAAAAACAACTCCAAGAAAAAACTATAGTATATGGTTAATGTATTCTTCTCTTCTCACACATATTTTGCCAAAAGGGCACATACATTGATTTATGAAATTTGTCTCCTATAGTTTTTTTGATAAAATTTTTAGGGTTCTACACTAGGTGCCTAGATCATTCAGTTTTGATAGGTATGAAATTTTTTAGATA